ACCCGAACAAGAAAAAAAAAAAAAAAAAAAAAAAAAGCCCGGAACTCACCAGATGCAGGAGCAGATCCCCACCCTGCGTAGCGCGGGGCAGTGGGGGACAGCGGGGATTGTCCCCCTGTCTAGCACCTGCATGGCACAGGTGCAGTGTGGCTTGGCAGGGTGCCATGCACTGCCTGGGAGCTGGGGCCACTGTGGTGAGTGCTGCCGGGCTCTGGCTGACACAGAGAACCACCCCAGCTTCCAGAAAGCATGCGGCACCACCAAAGGGCACCTGCTATGTGGGTGTGGGGGGGGGAGAAGGGGAATCCCTGCTGCCCCCACTGTGCAGGGAGGCTTTGCGAGTGTCCAGAGGCCCCAATCGCCACTCCTGCAGCCGATGAGTTGCGGGGGGTTTTGTTTTATTTTAATTGCTGGGAAGCTGGGGCCAGGTGGGGGGTGGTGATCACAGAGCAGGGGATTGTGGGGGGGGCTCTGCCAGCAGACCCCAGAGTCCTCACAGCCCCTGCTGCAGCCGGTGTATGCCAGGCTTTTTTTTTCTTCTTCTTCTTCAGTGTCGGAGGCTGGGCAGGGCAGGGGATGGGGCCAGGCAGAGCAAACATGGGGGCTTCTCCTGTGGCTCCCCCGGCTGTGCCTGCCTCTGCCCCAGTGAGGGGGAGCTGCGGGAGCTCTGCAGGGCATAGCCCCTGCTCCCAGCACTGCTGTGCCTGCATCAATACTGGGAGCAGGGGCTCTGCCGTGCCGCTGCTTGCCCCCCCCCACCCCCGCCCAGAACAAGCTGCGTCCACATCCTGCCCACCTCCCCAGCTGGGAAAGTGGCAGCAGGACAGAACTTCCACTCCCAGTGCTGCCACGCCCGCATCCCAATCCCCAGCTGGGCAACTTGTCCCAGCCCCAATCCCTTCCTCCCCCCTCCCTCAACCCCAACAGACTTACCAGCTGGAGGCATCTGTCAGCTGCCTGTTTAGTCTATGGTCGAATCTCTGAATCAGCTAAATCTTTTCCAAATTGATTTGGATGCTTTGAATCGATTCAGAGCTTTTACTTGGTCTCCCAATTCGATTTGGATTCGGAGATTTGGTCCCTGAATAAGGGTCAAATCTCCTCCAAATCGAATCAGCTACCAAAGTTTCTCACAGCACTAGTGGGAATAGGCACTACATGCAGATCAGTCTGGTTGGAGTGGCAGCCACATTGCACACAGTGGCTGCCCTGGCTGGACTATGCCACATGCAGCACCAGCCCTGGCAGCATTGGGACTGGGCTGCGCACGGTGCCTGTTCCAACCAGTCCAGGGCTCATGGTGCATATGGTGCTTGCCAGTGCCACAGTGTGGGTGCCATAATAGCTGAAGCAGGCACGGTGTGCAGCATGTGTCCCAGAGAAAATGCCACATGTGGTACAGTCTGGCCACGGTGACCACTGCATGCAGCACAGCTGCTGCTCTGACCAGACTGCAGTGGACATGGTGCCCATTCCTGTTACTCCTGGATCCACACCACACATCGCAGGTCCCAGACTGGTTGGAGCAGCTGCCAGATTGGGTATACTGGAGAAGGGTAAGCGAGTAGAAGAGGGGGTCCATGGGCATGCATCATGCCAATGTAGGTCTGATCAGACCCAGGGACAGCACCAGCGTTGGCTCTGTGGGCTGGATCTGGCACACGGGCCATATATTTGACACCCCTGATCTAACCTGAGGAGACTTCCTTCTCATGTGTAGGGTCAATGTGTAGGTACAGACACAGTGGTCTGAGGGAAATTTGCATTGTTATTTCCTATAATGCAATGCTCCCCCCATCCAGTTCCTTTTGCAGGCACTAAATTCACTTTAAAGAAAGAAAAAAAACCTAATAATAATATGAAAGAAAACAAGTATTTACATTTGATACCTTCATCAACCTGCATTTTTCAAACTGATTCAGAATGACAAGTTCTCAGGTAAAAAACAAAAAACCCTAAAAAACCTCTTGACCCTCAATACAGCTGTTCCACCTAGGCTACTTGTCCTATCCTTACAATATGTGTCTCTAAGGCAAAATTCCCCTTCTTTCAATCAGACTAAAAAACACCAGTGAATTAACAGAACAAAAACTTGTTGGTTTTGTTAGGCATTTCCTGCTTCTCCCTTGTGACCTCTAAAGTGGACTCTCAATCTGAACAATAAGAAACTTGCACAAGTCTTGAACAGGTTATGAAGATCCTGTATTATTTCTGCTGAAATGGTTTAGATCATTGCTCTACAGCAGATGTGCACTTTCACTGCTTTCAACTTAAGGGACAAAAGGATTATTTCAGGAAGATCAAGTGTCTACAATATGTACTTGGAAGCAGCTTTC